AAATTTTGGATTCACCAAAAACATAAATTGGAGAATGATTATTTACTTCACAGCAAGATATTTTTACTTTCAAATTTACTTTCAAACTGTAATCTTCCCTTGGAAAAAGTTAGCTGTGGAATAAACTATGTATGAAGCATTTATTTTTTTGCCACCCCATGTAATTCTCTCTCCTGGCTTCCCTTTTTGCCCTCAGAAGCCATGTTCCATTCCTATTAGTTAATTGCTAGAATAATCTTCCTGATAAAGCAAGTGAATATCTATTAAGTACCTAGCATCCGCCAGGCACTGGCACAAAAGTGACATACTTCTGTGCCCTTAAGGAGCTTCCCAAGTCTGAGGCCTTTAGATCTCATCAAGAGGTTCTGTGAAAAGATCTCCTTCCCCATTGTTCTTTGGGAGTCCCAGCTCCTGAGGGGCTAGAATTTCCTTGAAGTCCCTGGCCTTGGAGTCTGATATTTAATTGGAGAGATAAGTACCCAGAAAATAATTTAGAAATTGTAAATTGTAATTTGTAAATTGTAAATTTAGAAATTGTAAATTGTAAAATTGTAAAATTGTAAAAAGCATAATAAAGTAGTAATTAGCAGTACCATTACTATCTGTGAGCAAAATTAAGAGACCAGTGAATGGAGTAGGTAGGTGAAAAAGGCTATGTGTAGGAAATTGTGCTTGATCTCAAAATATGGACAGGATTTTAATAGATAGAATATCTTTAACTTTTCATTTCAGGAACTAAGTAGTTCCATTTAGCCAAATGCCATTCATTGCTTATCTGTTTTACTCTCGTGCTTGGGCAAATCTCAAGTGTATCATTACTGTAACACAATTTATATTATTTCTCTCTTGCTGTTAGAATTTCATTCATGAGTTCTCCCTATTTCTACCACATAAGTTATGGGGAGAATTTTTGATCATCATAAGAGAATTTGGGAAACACATGTTTCCCAAATGTGTTTTTCCTCATTATAGGTGTCAAGTAAATAAAATGTTGCATGAAAAATGAAAGAATAATTGTTTACATATACATATACATGTATGTATATAATACATATATAGGTATGTGTGCATATATATAAGTACATATGTGCATGTATATGCAAGAGAGGCAGCATTCCTAATATATGTGTGTCCATATACATATACAGGGCAGCTCGGTAGCGCCATAGTGCACAGAGCGCCTGACCTGGAGTCAGGAAGATTCTTCCTGAGTTCAAATCTGAACTCAGACACTTGCTAGCTGTGTGACCCTGGGCAAGTCACTTAACCCTGTTTGCCTCAGTTTCTTCATCTGTACAATGAGCTAGAGAAGGAACTGACAAACTACTCTAGTATCTTTGCCAAGAAAATCCCAAATGGAGTCACGAAGAGTTGGACACAAGTGAAAATGATTGAACAATCACACATACACATGCATATATGTGTATTATATATATACATAAATACACAATACACATATAGGTATATTTATATACCAGTATATACGTACACTTACATACATGTACATATGTATCAGTGTGGCATTTAATAAATGTTTATTGACTGGTTTGTGTATAAATGTAAATGCACACATATGTATACACAATACAAAGGTGCATGTTAAAACTGCACGAGATTTTGGAGACATCCTTTATAATTTTGCTGTACACAAAACACTGTTCACAATAATTCTACAAAGTGGATACGCTAAATATTATTATTTATAATGAAAATGAAAGTGAAACACTTCTGAAATGTTGTGACATTCCCTAAGGTCACATGGCTAGTAAGGGCTTGGTACCCCTGGGAACGTAAGCTCTCATGGCACTCACTCTTCTGTGCCGTGGATTTCCTCATCTGTTAGGCAAGGGAGTTGGCCTGGATGGCCCCTGAGAATCCCCTCAGATCTATCTGCATTGATGATCATGAGGATCTATAGGTAGATCTTCTCACTCCAAATCCATGCTCTTTCCACAACACCAAGCTTTCTTGCTACAATTTCTGGACAATTATATTTGTAGTATTTCATCAATATCAAGAAGATAAATGCTTAAAGATATAATTTAATGGTATGAACTGCTTTAAAGTTGTTAAGAGAATGTATTTGACTGCAAGACTTTAGTGTAGAGTTGAACAGCTCATAACCACTATTGATCAAAATGCACCTTTATTCCATAACTGTCCAGAATGAAAGACGTTTAACTCATGTCAGTCAGTTAGTCAGTGAGTATTTAGGAAATACTTATTACATGTCAGTCACTGTTCTAAGAGCTAGGGATACTAAGACAAAATCATGGAGGAGCCCATATCCTAATGACAGAAACGAAATGCCAGCAACTATGTATGTACAAGATATATGCAGGAGAAATGGAAGGTAGTCGCAGAGAGAAGAGACTTGGTGGGGAGGGAAAGGTGCCAGGTAATACCTCCTGCAGAAGTTAAAATTCGATCTGATTCTTGAAGAAAGCAAGGACAAAGAAGGGAGGAAGTAGAGCATTCCCCTAGGGATAGCTGTTGTAAATGCATGGAGTCGGGAGAGTATCATGTGTAAGGACGAGCAAGTAAACCAGTGTTGATAGACTGTGGAGTATGTGTGTGTGTGTGTGTGTGTGTGTGTGTGTGTGTGTGTGTGTGTGTGTGTGTGTGTGGAGGTGGGATTGGAGAGAAGGAGGGACCAAGCAAAAGAAGACGGGAAAAGTCGAAAGTGACCAGTTTATGAAGAGCTTTGAATGCCAAATAAAGGACTTTGCATTGAATTCTGGAAGTAATATGGAGCCACTGGAATTTTTTGAGTAGTCAGGGTGACATGATCAGACTTTAGAAAAAATCACTTTGGCAGCTAAGTGGAGGATGGGTTGGAATGGGAAGATGCTTGAGGCAGAGTTATCAAAGCTTTTGAAATAGTGCAGGCATAAGGTGATGAGGCACTGGACTGTGGAGGTAGCTCTGTGAGTGGAAAGAAGACATATATGAGAAATGCTGCAAAGGTAAAAACAGTAGGATTTGGCAGAGGATCAGACATGTGTATTGAGATCGAGTATGGACTCAAGGAAAATGCCACCATTGCTCGCCTTGGATAACTGGGAAGGATGATAGTGCCCTTGACAGTAATAGGGAAGTTGGAAAGAGGATTGGTTTAGGGGGAACGATAATGAGTTCTGTTTTCAACATATTGAGTTTGAGATGCCTATGGGACGTCCAATTTGAGTGCTGAAATACTAACTGGGAATCTTGTGATTTGAAGCCCTAGAGAGACAGTATCGGCCCACACTACATCTATATAGCATTTAATTATGTAGTAGACCTACATGGGTTGACAGTTTATAAATCACTCCTCTGCATAAGCTTTTTATTTTAAAATATGCTATTAGTTGGGCTATGGGGGAGAAAGTGAATTAATTCACTTGGAGTTGCAGATGTCAGTTGGTCTAGTCATTCTGGAAAGCAGTTTGGCGTTATCCCTCCCAAATCACTTAATTGTGCATTCCCTTTGACCTAGCAATACTACTACTAGGCCTATTCTCCAAGAAACTCAAAGAAAAAAACTCCTGTATGTAAGAAAATATTTGTAGCAGTATTTTTTTTTGTGGTGGCAAAAGCCATGGGGGTGCCCATAAATTGGGGAATTATAAAGTAATAGTATATAAATGGAATGGAATACTTATTGTACTATAGGAAATGACGAAGGGGATGCTTTCAGAGAAATCTGGGGAGACCTGTCTGAACTGAAGCAAAGCAAAGTGGACAGGACCAGGAAAACAATTTATACAATGGCAACATTATAAAGACAACTTTGAAAGACTTAAGGACCGTAATCAGTGCAATGATGCATACTGCTCACCTCCTAACAGAGAGATAAGATGAACACAAGCTGCAGAATGAGATGTACATTTTTGGACATTGGGCCATTGTGGAAATTTGTTTTGCTTGACTATACACAGTTGTTACAAAGGTTATGTTTTCCTCCAATGGGGAAGATTGTGGAAGGAAGAGATAACAAATGTTTGTTAATTGAAAAAATAGAATTAATCAAAAAAATAGCCTGTTAGTGACGCCAATGTCATGCCCATATGAAGCTGATCAACAGCCTCTTTTAAGTCTTGCTAGAATTGGCTTACTGTCTTACCTAAAGATAGGTAGGTAGGACTGTGTTTGCCACTGGTGAACATAAGATCATAGATTTAGAACTGGAAAAGAACATAGAGATCAGCTATAATAGCCACCTAATTTTATAGACAAAGAATCTGAGAACTGAGAAAGGTAAAGTGATTTTCCTACAGTTAAGATGTTAGCAGAGCAGACGTCATCTTGTGACATCATGTGACAGGAGTCACATGACTCCTGTGTGGCACATGGGCTCCTCCAATGCCCATGACTGAAAAAGAAGAATGACTCAATTCATGAATTGTCATTCTTTTCACACATCCATCATTAAAATGAATAATTTGTTAAAGTAAGGTATAGATATGCCTTGAGTAGAGATCTAAGCCTATGAACATCTCGACCAAGGTGTTCAGTCTTTGTGGTAAAATGAAATGCTTAGAGATACCCAAAATATTTCCTTTTTCTCATAGGCATTCAATCAAGATAGCCTAGGGCAAATAATTACTTAGCTATTGACAAGAGAAATATAATATCCTAATTTTTAAAATTTTCTCAGAAAAGTACTTAATCTTCTCAACCGTATACACAGTATCCTACCCAGGATTATAAGAACAAGAGATAGTGACCGAGCCATGGGCTAGAACCCAGATCTCCTGACTAGTTCTTGGTCCAACCCTTTTTATAATATACTTGATGGAGGAACAGTAACCACAGTACTCTTATGACTGCCAGTTCAGATTTTTCCTTTCTAGATGATGAACAAATGAAGAAATTAGGCTCATAAGGATATGAGTCATTATATGAAGTGGACTGTAGCAAGATCTGGTTTAAAAAATCTGTTTCCTCAATAGCTTTCATGTAAGTCATAGATAACTTGAGCTGCAAATTCTAAATATGTTCTTGTTTCTCCTGTGCAGAATGAAGATGTCTGGAGTTATGTGGCTCCTCCTCTTCCAGTGAAATGCATCAGATACTTGCCACTCCTGGAGGATTTATTTGGTCTTGAAGATCAATCATGATGTCAGTATAGGTCACCTCCTTTTGAAATTAGTGTTTTTGCTTCATCAGGGTTACCAGGATGAATTCAATTTCTTTTAAAATTAGAAAAACAATGATATATATTGAATTTAAATTCTGAATTCCAATGTAAAAGTATAGTTAATCTATTCTGTCATTTCTGAATTTCAAAATATTATGTTGCTGTAACACTGAAACTAATAAAAAAGTACCTTCGTTGTGTGTATGACATTAATATTCCACTCTTTTGAAAATTTGTAGTGGAATGGAGGTGACCCTGGGTTTCTGAAGGCAAGCAAAGTGGAGGGCCTTGTAGCTCTTTCCAAGTTGGAACAGACTGTAGATCTGTGGGGCAGTTGTCCTTTAGCAGGAAGTTGAAAATTGTCCAGCAGAGGCATTTGAACCAGCTAAGCACATGTTAATTAAGACAAGAGGGAAGCTTTCTCTGTGTAATTAATTTGAGAAGTTTCCAATCAACCTGCTGCTATAGGGTATGGGCAGTTATTTGGAAGCAGCTGAAGGAACCTTCTCATGACATGCAAACATACTCATTGGTGTTGTACTGATTGGGTTTCAGAGACTAGAACTTCTCTCTAGATGAATGTCTCACTCCCTCTGGGCTTTAAAAGTAAGCTGTGAGACCCAACATGGCCCTTTCTAACTCTCATACTTCAAAATTCCCCTTTGTCTTACAGGATTGGACCTTGTATATTGGAGCCCAGAGTCTTGGAGTGGGGTCCTACCTAGGCTATAGATTACATCTTGGGAGATGGGTGTTGTCCAGCAACTGATGGATTTATCTGCAGCAAACCCCAAGTACCACATGTTTGGGGCTCATCTCTGTAATCAATAAACTAATCAACAATCACTAGGTTTTGTAGAGCACTAAGGTTTGAAAGGCACTTGTGCTTTAATCTTCTATCATTAGATCTTCGTTTAAAAATAACTGTGAAATAGGTGCTATTATTAACCCGTTTTAGAGAAAAGGAACTTGAAGCTGAGACTGAAGTATTTTGCCTGGGATGGCACAGTAACTGTCCGAGGCAGGTTTGAACTTAGATCTTTATGACTCCAGGTCCAAAATGGCATCCACTGTGCTATCTTGAAGATCAATCATGATGTCAGTATAGGTCACCTCCTTTTGGAATTAGTGTTTTTGCTTCATCAGGGTTACCAGGATGAATACAATTTCTTTTAAAATTAGAAAACCAATGATATATATTGAATCTAAATTCTGAATTCCAATGTAAAAGTATAGTTAATCTATTTTGTCATTTCTGAATTTCAAAATGTTATGTCAGCCTAGTGAAAGCAGATAGGGTGGCTTGTCCTATCGTGACATGAGTCTGAGTAGCTTGTCTAAAATCCTTATGGTTTCCAGGTTCACAAGAAGGGATGTTTGCCAGATAACTGTGGAACTGAGTTCTTACCTTTGGGGGAGGATGCTTGTTGTTGATGCTGATGCTGATGCTAATCTTGATATTGATGATTTTTTACCAGAGAACATTCCTATCAACCCCAATTCATCCAAAACTTCTAGTTACTCTATGTGCTTCAGAGACCCATTCAAACTTTTTTTATCCAGGATCTCCATTTTTGGTTTTCCCTATAGGAATCTTTTGGAGAAATTTTCATGACCCCAAGTCCTAACTCACTGGTGGGATAGCTCTAAACCACAGTCAGTGAAGGTCTGATGAGAAAGGATTTGCTTGTTCAGCCATCTCCACAGTGTGTTTACCTTCTTGGGGGAGTCTCAGCCACAAGGTGATAGCTTGAGTCTTAGGGACACCATGAGAAAAAGAAACTCATGGAATGCTAAAGCTTTGCCTGAATTATAACCCCAAGTTCACTTCCTTTCCAGGTTAGAACTGATGGGGCTAATAAAGTGCGTTACATACTCTTGTGTGTGAATTTTCTGTGAGGTGAAATAAAGTCTGTTGCATACTTAATATCTATATCATACATTGAGTGCCAGTGTTGGAATTGGTGATTCTATTACTCACATTTGGGGGCAACCTAGATAAGAGTTCAACTTAAGATTGATTTCATTGATTTAGTCAGAGTGGAATGGGAGCAATGCGCCAAAGAGAAATTGATTCGAGGACTCAGCCCCCAATATTGAACCCACAAATCCATTCTTAGTGAGTTCAGGAGCTTGGAAGCTGAGTGGTCTGGACCACTACATTGGATCTGAGTAAATCGTTTGACTGTATCCTTAAGTGAGTTATGTTCAATCGGTAGTTTGCCATGGAAAATGGCCTTATGAGCTACTGATGAAGGAAGGAAAGGAGGAAATAAATATTTATTAAGCACTCACTACATGCCAAACACTGTGCTCAATACTTTACAAATATCTCACTTTGATCTTCCCACCAGACCTGGAAGGTGGATGCTATTACTGTCTTAATTTTATAGTCAAAGAACCTTAGACAAACAGAAGTAAAGTGACTTATCCAGGGTCACATCCAGCACTCTGTCCACTGAACCAACTAGTTGCCTCTAAAGAGGCAAGAGTAATAAAAGGCTGAGTATCTAATAGCAAGTAGGAGGGGCAAAGAGGATTTTGCAGTGATGCTCAGCGTGTGCAATATATCTTTTGTCTCTCAGTTGAGTGACAGCTATGCCCCTCTAGAAGGCAAAGAGATTTAAGAAAGGCACCTCCATTTTCTAATTTGTCAAAGCAAACGAAGTATTGCTTTTGAAAATAGAAAAAGAAACTCAAGGTAAAAACAAGAACCAGAGTCTTAAGAACCTAATGGGAATCCTGGCCCTTATCAGGAGGATGAGAAGTAGAAGACTGTGTCATAGAGGAGAAAGGGAAGAAAGACCACTAAACCCTTGGAACTAAATAATGAACGGGAAGCTTTTCACACTGCAGGAAAACAGCAGAGGCTAAGCCAGGGGTGGGAAACCTGCAGCCTCCAAGAGACATGTGGCCCTCTAGGTCCTCAAGTGCAGCCTTTTGATTGAATCCAAACTTCACTGAACAAATCCCCTAAATAAAAGGATTTGCTCTGTAAAACCTGGACTTAGTCAAAAGGCCCTACCCCCAGAACCTTTCTTGAAGGAAGCAGCTAGTTAGTTGTTGTCTAGGGAACAATAATGTTACAGAGGTGTCCGAGAATAAGAGATTAGCAAAAGTAATCCCTTTCTTCTTACTAGAGTATAGTGAACCACCTTTTTTTTTTTTTAATTGACACAAACAATAGAAATCTACTGAGTTCCTGGGGCATGAATTCAGGATGCAATGCAGGATGTCCCAAAGATTGTCAAGCCTGACAACCACTATCCACTTCTCGTGATTTATGTGGGGACAAATTAGATGACCACAAAACATCATTAAGGATTACAAGGTCCATTAAAAAAAGGACATTAATGGCAACAGATTTGCCAAAATAAGGCAAGAATTTTTGGAGAGAGAACCAAGTTTAGGAAGAGACCAGGTAATTAAGAAGATAGAATCTGGGGGTGAAATTAGGATCCTTGGACAACAACAAAAAGTAGAGGAAAAATTAACTCTTGGCCAGAGATGGAGTGCACCTAACTTGGGTTGGTGAAAATACATTTGCCTGGAGTCTTGCAGATCGAAGAAAAAGAACTTGAAATTAAAAAAAGAGAGGGGGGAAGGTATCCATTAAATATATACCATAAGAAGCTGTATCATAGGAAGAAAACCCTCAGTATAAGACTATTAATTCATAGTAATAAAAATACAAGAAAGGGCCAGCAAAAAATTCTTTGTTCTAAGATGTCTATATACATATATCTCAGATATGTGTAATAAGTAAAGTGAACTAGAAATCCTAATGGAAGGGAGCAAATCTGACCTCAGAAGGCATGACTGAGATTTTGTGAGATAAGAACTTTATGTGAAATAGGGTGTCAAAAAGATATGTCTCACTCAAAAGGAACAGAATAGGTATAATGGGAAGTGGAATAATATTAGATATTAAGAAGATATACTTGAATAAAGAAATCCAGGAATTCTAATTAAGATGATAGGATGAATGAGAGCAGACCAGACTAGCTCAAAACACAAGTATTCCCACAAAGATGGAAAAGGAGCACTAGACTTATTAATGGTAAGAAATACAAAGACAAACTATAATAAGTGCTATCCTTCAGCTCATGGGCAGTAAGGAAGTAGTCCTGTTAGAAAAGCCTGCTTAGCACAAAACTTGGAAACCTGCCAATGGCACAGAGATGCTCCAAGGAACCCTGAAACCTGGAGTTCTGTATACCTGCCCAAAGACAGAAAGACTGGAATGCTCCCTTAAGGAAGTTCCAGGGCAGCCTTCTGACCCCAGACATGGTAATGAGTTCACAAAACTGAGATCTGAACAGCAGGGACCAGAGTGGGATACCACAGGGCCTCTGAAAGTTTGAAGCATACACATCTAGAGCCCCTCAGAGCCTTGTAATATGCAGAGCCTATATCTGGACAAGTGAACCTGAAATGCCTACATTCTGAATCAGGATACACCAGGGGAAGTGAAAGACAGATGCAAGAGCCCAAATGATACAGATCAAGGCCTAGAATGTCCCTAGAGTCTCATCTAATAGTACAAGTGAAGTCAGAGTCTAGCTGTAACACAAATAGCAATTTAGGAAGTAGGGATTGAAATATTAGTAAATGGAAGAAGACAGGAACAATAAAGAAAATGTTATGGCTTCAAGGAAATAACCCAGAAGAAGAGAATAATTCTACAACAACTACAAACAGAACCTCAGAAGAAAAAAAATTAGTCTGGGCCCAAGGACTACAAGAAATCACAGAAGAAATGAAAAGAGATTTAAAAAAAATGAAATAAGAGCTCTGGATCAAATAATTAAAAGAAGAAAAAAAAACTAAGTATAGGAAATGGTAAACCTTACCCAATTACTCCCTGAAAATGAGAATGTATCTAACAGATGTAAATGACTCCATGAGAAACACTAAAACAAATAGACAGAAAATATACAAGAAAATATAGGCTATTTACTATCATAAACAATAGATTAGGAATAATATATCAGAGAAAGAGAATTAAAGAAACACCACTAGTCCCCACCAAAAAAAAAAAAAAATGAACAAGATCTAGAACATGAATATTCTGTTTAAAGAAATCATAAATGAAACCTGCCCAGACCTATTAAAACCAGAGGGCAAAGTGAAAATAGAAAGAATTCACTAATTGCTTTCTGAAGAAATCTCTAAGATT